ATTTTTGTTGAAGGTTTCGAATGCTATTCCTTAGACCGTCAGGTTTCCAAGCCGTATATAAACTGTTTAGTATTATGTGCTGCAGGCCTGCTTAGCAGGACTATGCTTACTAGCTAGATTGAGATGTGGAGTTCTGGATGCCTTTCATTTCAATTTACATGCTTTATGTATTTCCATGATCAAAGAGCCTATTATGCTATGACAATAACAAGACACTCCGATTCGCGATCTTGTTTTGCTTATTCTTGGTTCTGCACTTGGAAGTTCCCCTATTAGGGAAACGTACACAGTACGAAATGACCTTGCTCTTTTACAATTCTCGTTATCCTTACTGAAACGAAAATAGAATGCGTAAAATCAAGAGCAGAATCAAGATTCTGCAAGTTCGCCAACAATTCCAAGAAAGTCAAGCAATATTAATGAAGACGACTGTTAAAAGTTCCCATTTGTCTTTTCCGCTCAAGATGATCTCATATTCAAAATGTATCAGGCGAATTTTGTGAGAATACCATGTGTATCAAGATACATCAAGAAACGCTACCTCAGGATTCATATCGAACGCTACATTTGAATCAATAAATCAAAAGCCGAAACGCTGTTGCTTTCGTTTAACTAGTAAATGATGCCAGTGCAGAGTGATCGGTTCATAAAGTGGTAGTTGTATGCCAAATTTAAACATTTCCCACAATTAAACTGTCGTGAAGTCCACGGAAAACGCTGTTGTTTCCTCAAGCATCGGGCATTCCTTGTGTAGCAGATTTGTAAGATAGAAAAAATTTGTACCAACTTAGGAAGATTGGAAATAATTATGCAGTGAATGATAAAGATCTTAGAGATGGATCGGATTCGAAAATATTCCTATTATTACTCAACCTTAACAAAAAGGAGACACTCCACGGAAAAACGGTTTTTCAGCGAGAAGTGGTAAGACCTTCCGAGTGAACGGCTGTTACTTATAGCGATAGGTTTCCTTTTTTTCAATTGAACAAAGAATTCGTAGAAGTACGGCAATAAGGAGGCAATGAGCATTCAATACTCCTCATTCGTCAACAAACAAATCAAGCTTCATAATTAAAATCAATGTTATTCATCCCGCAAGAATTGTTATCTGTATCAGAAGATCGAAGCTTCAATTTGAAATCCTCTTCTCCTCCCTTGAATTCGTATGTCTTCCAGACAGAGAATTAAGGTTCATTCATTGCCGCGCAAAAGTCATTACAACCATCGAAGCTACGTTGTAAGAGCTGTGACAATGCAAAAAGCGATAAGGCTCTCATCCATAATAGTCGTAGGGTCCATACCATCCATATCCATATGGACTATAGACATACGGTCTGTATCCATAGTATGGCCCGTATCCATATCCATATCTGTTCCTGTAATCGTAAGGACCATACTGGTAGCCTCCACTTCTCCTATATGTTCCTCGAGTGCCGTATACGCCTAACTTCGGATGGGGAGGAACGAGTGCGTCAGTAGCATTTTTATCCTGAAAATGAAAGAAAGTTTCTCTTTCATGGTGTGTTTCTACATACAAATCTCAGCAAAAGGTAATATTGGGTGCAAATTAACTAGGAATTTGTTGAGCTATCACTAGCTTCATCACATTTTTACTACATATTCAATCTTTGCTAGTTAAAAAACAGGGATATCCCAAATTTTGCAGACGCGCAAACCTACTCAAATTATAACAGCCATCAGAAACAGAGCACTCTCCTGCTTGTCATCACGGCTACAGGGCTCAAGCCCTCTACCGTTCTCCACGTGATCTAGAGTCCCCCTCAACTGTGATACTCTTTGGACGTTAAACGAACCGCAACATAACACAGCTAATTTTTTTTTTGTTCAATCAACTTTTAATTTCAACTTTAATTCAAAACTTCAAACACTAACTAATTATTGTATAAATTATATATGTATAAGTTATATAAATCATTATTCATATATAAATAGATTTCTTTTCATTCTCTCATCTATTGCGGAACTTCCGCTCTCATTTTCTAAACTTGCTTACAGTGGGTCTCTGTAGATTCGATTCCTCAGGAGAACTCATCACCCACCGATTGCGACTATCGGGGCTATATGCATCACATATCATTACAATTTCACTTTGACTATCAAATAGCTTATAAAAGTTTAATACCTTTACTGGTGTTGCTGTCATCAATGCACATAGAGACAACAGGATGAACAGAGGATACATCTGAAGATAGCCAATGCAATTTCCACTTTGTCCCGCCATCACAAATGATCTGATAACAGAGTCTATCAGATGGAATAGTTTTATTCTACCTATCATTACAATATGAATGAGTGACAAGTGTCTTTGTTACCGATAAGATATAAGAGAACCAAGTGATAAACGCCGTTTTCAGCAGAATTTTATATATTCTGAAATCTATTAGTTTGAATCTCTCACGTCTCTTTTGTGAACATTTTAAAACAAAACGAAGAGGCTATTGGAATTCTGTGCAATCCTTTTTCCAAATGTGTTTTGTTGATTCAATTTTGTTAAATCAGCAGCTTCCAATCGAATAGGAATTTCACTTCTGTCCTTTGCATATAAAAAAATCAAAAAGCGAGTGGTTATTGCAGGTAGCAGTGAGGTAATGGTGATACGTATCTTGATCCGAAATTCACCCACTCATCCGACATCTTTCTTACTCCTCTATTAAATCGAATGTGCCTTCGGCCCATTGAATACAGGGCGAAGAAGAGTTGAGGTCTTCCAAAATTCGTCTGTGGTCAAAGAGCCTTAGACTGGTTGGCAACTCTTCACTTGGCTTCACTGGGTTTCAGCTATCGTTCAATCGGAATATCCGGATAATGTGCTTTGTCAGTGATAGGAGGATTGATATATTTTACTACCCAGCAGTACACCCTTGGTGAAGCTGTGAAGGCTTTGATGGCTTCGCGATTATCAAGACTCGTACAACCAAAAATGTTCAAATCCAGAAAAGCTGTGATTCATCCATCATCGACTATATCGATTATTTCGCGGAGGAAGGGTCTTGTGCCCCTATGGATTTTGTATTTGAACAATGGAGAAATCCACTTCAACTCTGCAACATCTTTCGCGTCTTGCATCAACATCAAGTCAAGTGAAGTCGAACTAGAATTTTCGTAAATGAAAACCAGACCTTTTAAAACAAAAACCTTTTAGAGAAAACGCAGAAAGTTAAAAATCGTTGTAAAATTCTCGCGAGGTACTCACGGTTTACTTTTTAGATGTGTCACCTAAAGCTTCTTTCCTCTTTTGCGTCTGAATAGTACCTTTTTCACGGATGAAGCCAGTAATTTCACGTTTGCGTAGATTTTAGTGTCTTACTAGTTGTTTTCTGAAGCGCAGTAGAGACCCAAAGTTGTTCATTTCTATAAATACATGTGGGAGATTTGAAATAGACAGACTTGCTGTCATTCCCGAGTGATTCTATCAAAGAAGGGACCTCCATTTATTGAGGCAAAAAGCTGTACTGGGCACAGTATTAGTCGATAATAGCTATGTTTGAGGGATGTGGAATGTTTAAAAATCACAAGTTTCAAACTCTTTGTGACTCAGACTCATGTCCATGAAATGTTACGCAATTCATTCGTCATAACATTTACAATTTCATCTTCTCAAGCAAAAAAATAGTTTAAATTGTTAAAATTTTTGTAGAGTTGACTTAGGCGGCAGTTACCCAGGGTTCGATCACATATATAGTGTCGATGCATTATTCTCCTCCTCGCTGAATTAAGAAGATTATTTGAAAGGAACGCTTGTGCTGAAGCCGACGATGTACATATTATTTCTACTCTACCGATAGACGCAGTTCATCTCAAAACGGGCAACTACGTGAACCCAATAGTCACCTTTCTGGCATTTACAAATTCCGTTACCTCTCCTTTCACCCAAACGAACTATTCTGTATAAGATAGCCTAAATGTAGATCAAAAGTCTTATTCAAAGTATTGAGACGAAATAACAAAGACTCGTCTAGAAACGATGAAAATATGTCGAGCGGTAAATTTGTTGACTATTCTCGAGAATAATTTCAAGCGCAAGAAATCACATAATGCTCCGAATTTCTGAGGCCATTGTACAGTTAGCAAGTGGAAGGGGTGGGCTGAGCTCGATTATAACTGACAACATCATCGCCATCACAGAGAAAGTCTGAAACATGATTTTATTACTGGAGGTTTTTCTATTGAGATCGCAACATCAGCTTTCAAATTAGTTTGTATATTTGTTGTGTACTTCAAGAATAAACCCAGTCCCAAGGCAGTTCAGAAACTCAATTTCTGAGCGAGCCATTGAGCACTGCACTACCCTATCACCGACACCTGTACTTATACAATCATACTCCAGAACTGTTTTATCACGTGCGTCATTGAAGCTGAAGCTTGAGCGTTGTTGTCTCATGAGTACTGCAGCATTTTGTTTCGAACAGTCATCTACTTTTAGATTTGTTGACGTTGGCGTTTCGAAAGTTTCGATTTCCTCAGACATCTGAGAGGTTCTGAAACCTTCCGGAATGATTCTCATAAAACTTGAAGCAGATTAGCTCCTAACTATTAGGCCGTTTGTAAAGTACGTATCTGCCAGGAACTTCGCAATCATTCAGATTTCTACTGTTCGATGGAGGCTTCCATAGACTATGAACCATCCATGTACGCATATGTATAATATTACCTGGCTCCCTCTGTTTCGCTTATTCAACCTATAGTAGGCTACCCATATTCAACATGTACCACCTTGACAGTTCGAACCGGGCCAGTCCGCCGACTGGAAACCTCTTCTGGTCATTTCTTTGCACGGCTCGCCTCAAGGGTTCAAACGGGAAGCTCTGAGATGAACCTCGATCTCATCATCCGAGTGCAATATCGTGAACTCTCAGGGTACCCATATTCAACATGTACCACCTTAACAGTTCGAACCGGGCCAGATATGTGTATGTATGTTCATATATTCCAGATATATGTCCAGGTATTCCAAATATCGCAAGTGATATGTGCCTGCGCTATGATGGGCGAGTGCTGAAACTTCCAAAACATTCCAGGGAAAATCTTAACTCTTGCAAAGTTTCGGCAGCTACTTTGCTATTGTTGCAACCCAAATCAGAAACTTCCTACAAAGTTGGAATTCCAGTATCCCAGTAAGTCGGTTGGTTCCATGGTGAAAATGTAAAGGTCCTGGGTTGGGAAAATAGCGAGCAACCAATACCACGCACTGTTCAATAGGCATATCGAACTCGACAAATCGAGACAGTGAAATTAGTGCTAAGTATTACCGCAAGAATGAGCGGTCGTGATAGTATAGCGAAACCCCAGATGGAAATTCCCAAGTCATATTGTTCCATATGCGACGAGAGCACTTGTGCAATTGTATACACCTGAAAGTGAAGTTGTTGATATAGTGAGTCCTGAGGCAGAAGTATATTGAAAAGCTTACATCTTTTCTGTATGGGAACCAGATGGACTCATTTCGAAGGATGCAAGTTCTTGACCGAATGACCTGTGGGAAAAACCATTGATTGTTTCTCACTTCTAACAAGGGAAGAATACTCGCCCGCAGTGGCCATTCAAGATGAGATGTATACCCCCGTGAGTGTTTTCGAACGATGATCTCAAATCTCTGTTCTAAATCTGCTAAACGATTCTGGGAACAAAGTTACGGGACCGATGGCTCCCTGTGTTATACCACAGTACCGCAGTATCTACGGAGCTCGCTCACAATTTAGGATTCTGGAGAATAAAAATTTGATGGAAAAATTCTTAACACTACTGACCGTATATAAAGGCAGGGATAGCTGTGTGGATAAGAGTGTTGGCTCACGTCTGCACTTAGAAAGAGCGCGAGTTGGATCCCGCCGAGGAGCTCCATGCATTGCGAAAATGGCAAAAATGGTAACGGTTCCAGCATCAAGCCGAGGTTGACAGGCCGGCTGATGGAGATACCCAGTCACAAAAACCATGTCTGAAGTCTCAAAAGATATCAGTGATAAAGCTAGAACGTCACCCGGAAGTGGTGCGCAGGACCCCCGCCCGAGTTCTGTGGAAGTATTCGAGGGCTACCGAGGAGTGAACGACCTCGGCTAAAAAAGTTAGTTCGGGATGAGACTCCAGATGTGGGATCGCTCACTGGAAAATCCCAACAGGTCGCTGATCTGATGAAGCAAAGGAGCATCCAAGACCTATGCCTTCAGGAGACCCGCTGGAAGGGTGCAAAGGCCAGGGAAATAGGAGAGGGTGTCAAATGCTTCTACAACGGAGTACCAATCGAGGCATGGGCGGTCCTAGGAGAGCACGGGACAAAGTGGCTCAACAGAAGATTTCTGAACAATGTGAAGGAAGAACCCCAGATTCATGGAGGAGCAGTACTAGCGCCCCAATCTTCAAACAGAAAGGGGACATGATGGAGTGTTCCAACAACCGGGGGATCAGATGACTGCTCACACGATGAAGCTGTACGAGCGGCTGGAGTTTAACTTCAATCACCAACACTGTGAGAAAAGGCAAATATTTTGGTACAGCTACTTTGATGTTCTGGGAAGCCCGTCTCCCTGTCTCATGGGATTGGGTGAATTCACAGATACTGTGAAGTGGCCCTATTATAACAAAGGCGTCTTTCCATAGGAAATCGGGGAGTTGACATCTATACATACAGGACTTCAAGCCAGTCACTGTATTGGCACAATGATTGTCAAAACTCGGAGCTACAGCTGAATGAAGAGATACTGACTCAGAGTGACTTTTGTTTTTACCTCGTCATGTAGTCTCGCTGGAGCCACCGTAATAGCCAAGAAACTGTAGACGCACAGAGCTATTGACGGCAAGCATATAATCAAATCTTTGAAACCATGAATTTGTTGGTTTAGCATCATTAATGTGAATATCACAGACGGAATAATGATGGCAAGCATGATGAACGCATAAAGCTGAAGGATGTCCAAGTACATTGAGGTGAAAAATCGTGATGGAAATTGCTCAGGCGTTAAGCTAGTCTTAGGAAGCGCTTCGGGAAAGCTTTTGATCTCTCGTTAGAATTACACGAGAAGCTTTTCAGAGGGAGAATATTTTCCGTTCTGAGAGAGGTCATCTCAAAACTATCTCTTTTTCTAATCAGACTACTCCTTACCATGTGACAGCTCTTTTCCAAAAAATGATTCTATCAAATCCAAACCCTGAAAATCCGATCTAGCTCTCTGATGACATTGCATATCTTGCCGTAAACATCCATTTGTCTCAACAAAACAGATTCAGTATCATCAGAAGAGCAATCAAGCTGAAATTTTTGATTCACGCTTTGTCATGTATTTATAAAGTTTTTAAAAATTAAAAATTTTGTAAATTTCATAAATTAATAATTAGATTAGTAGCTTATGATATATCCACAAACTGCATGCAGAGCAGGAAAATAAAGAACCATGAATGCATAGAAACAGTTGGAGGAAAGAAGGAAACATCTTGAACCTGCAGAATTGATCAGTCTCCCATGCAATTGATATATTTTTGAAATTCGTTAAACACAACTTCCTCGATGAGATATCGCAAAAGGAATACTTCCTCCTCACTACCTCCTCCTTTGTTCATCTAAGCTGCAGTAGTACCCTAAAATTCCATAGATAAGAGCGGGTGAACCTACCGGTGAAAAATGAATTGGAAAAAATCGAAATTGAATGCAGTCACCCCTCTAACTTGATGGATGGATAAATTAAACTTCGAAGAAGAAGTTAAGAAGAAGCTCCGCCCCTCAACTTTAAACCCTGCCCACTTAATAAACAATTCATATAGAAAAATAGCGATTTTTACCGATCGCAGTTTTTTTCTATATGAATTGTTCATTAAGTGGGCGGGGTTTGGATATAAGGGGCGGAGCTTCTTCTTAACTTCTTCGAAGTTTAATTTATCCATCCATCAAGTTAGAGGGGTGACTGCATTCAATTTCGATTTTTTCCAATTCATTTTTCACCGGTAGGTTCACCCGCTCTTATCTATGGAATTTTAGGGTAGTAAGAAAATGCATTCAGAGCAAATAAACAGAGTGAAATCAGCTCCCTTGTAACACATTGTCTACACTCTGGTCATTGAGAACCCGCTTTTCAACTTTTTTCGTAGCGACATTAGGCCCCACCCAAAAGGTGATTGGTTGTATACCATTCGCGCTATATGTGATATGACATTTTCTGAAAACATGATCGGCAGTCGCTGGCATCCGTCTTTTTCACTCGAAACGGATACTTAGGTTCTAGAGGGCAATCGAGGCTAATGGAGCCTTCATTCAGAATTCTTCAATGTACGCCCAAAACGCGTTCAGCGGAGAAACTGTGGATTCCGAAAGCTATTCAGGAGAGAACTCGTCCTTTTATCGCATTAACTGGGTGAGGCAACATTTTTCGAAAAGCAGTTTATTTAGTATCTCACGTAAATTTAGGACAATTACTTCTGCAGAAGCCGTGATTCTCCATAATCATTTCAAAGTACTCGAAGCTGAGGATTGGAAATATTACTTAAGAATAATGAAGGGTGGTGGTGGGCGGTAGTGAAGGAAGCGAGAAAATCCCCGATTTCACGAAAGAGAAAGCTCTGCAGAAGTAATGAAAATAGAGGTTGTACGAGATCACCATGACTGAAATGGCAAGGAACGGGTAGTCGGACGAGATTTTAGCTGTTGCAATTGCGCAAGGAGCTGACTAAATTAAGCCAGAACTGCACAAAACTGCCCTAGGCTGTCGCTATGGGTCATAACAGGTCGTTTGGACTTCCTGTCACATGGGTTCCCTTGTGAATGGTGCCGCCCCTACAATGCCGTTGAAACTCGGATAATTTTTGAGCCTTTACGCCCTATCTAGGCCATTTTCTGACTTTCATTGCCACATGTCGAGTACGAGGGACCACAAATAGTAGTTGGAATAAGGGTTTGAAGTAGTCAACGAGTTTTTCATGCTACTCTCTCCAGATCAATTAGCGAGATGTATTTCTAAACAAATGTGACCTCACGAAAATGAATTTCACCAGAGAATTATGGAAAACAGTGTACCTCCTGTCGTCCCGCTGATAGTTGATTGCTGAAACGGGCTTCATTATCACTTCATTCATCCATGTCCGAAGAATCTTTTTTTGCACAAGATCATGAAGCATATCACTCCTTTTGATCAGAGCCTTTCCTAGGAAAAGTGACCGTCCGGCTGGCTTCTCTCCACGGATTCGTTCAACGTTCCTAGGGAACCAGTCAATATCCACCCTTGTCTAAACGTTACTACAAAATTGAGTGACGTGCCCGGCTCGACCCGGCAGATTTGAGCTTCCCTGTTTGATGTGGGTGGCGGTCCATAATTTCTGTTCACTGATAAAGCTTAATTACATATCCCCTTTGCAATTAGGAGAATAGGTTGTCTAAGAGCAGCAGTTTCAACAGCGCGTTGAATAACACCGACTGCATACTCGCTCTTCTTCTTGGATTTCAAATCATTAAGCCGTAGCTCGAAGCAGGAAGGATCGCAGCGTCAGGGAGTGTGGAGCGCCGGATGTTTCTTGTTCTCTTCGCCACTTTTTCAATGCTCTCGAATGGTTCATATGCCACTCGTTTCCTTCTGCTCAGCTTTGCCATGTTACCTTGTCTGTTATTGACCAAACTTATTACAGCTAAAGCGCTCGGAAATGTTCTCACCACTAAGTAATAAAGGAGCATCAAAAACCAAACCATTTTTTATCAGCCCTGTCTTCCTTAGTTTAGTAGCTAGCCGATCTTTCCATGACCATTGACGAATTTAGGCAGCATCCGTTATCTCTGCCACAAATTCGATATTACAAGCGCGATGTCGCGAAGCAGGAGAGTTTTAACTAAGGGCCGATCGGTCCCGTGCCTTTCCATTCCAAATACGCTTGATGTTGTTAAGAATGGAACTGAAATACTGGACGAGACAGGAACGCTCCTACGAGACGCTCTCTTCACAATGACCATCACCTCCTTGTAAAACGATGAAGTCCCGCTGAGCTTGTTAAATAAGTCTAACGCAAAACTCTAACTCGAACTCATATTACAACCCAATATATATGTTTAACGGAGCAGTAGTCTAATCTCGATTATTGAAAAAATTATTGCCAGGCGTTTCGAGTAAGTGGACATATGGAGGCCTTAAAGAACGTGGAATTTTCCGCCGAAGAAAATTCTAGACTGGCAACGACGAGCTTTTACTTATTTTCGTATCTCGTAACACGTTATTATAACATTATAAAGGAGTCCGTCAAGATGAAGCTGAGGAACGTCTTACTTACCTTTTCGAGTTTATCATTGTAGTTCTTCACTTCAACGTATGCCGCGTCGGTGTAGACTATGTATATGAATACACTTACATTCCACGCAATGTAGGTATATAAGGTAACAAAACTGTTCACAATGCGCAGCTGAGGAAAGTAGAACATCTGAAGTCTGATATCATCTACGAGCTTTACAATCTTTTACACGTTTCAATTCACTCAATCCCGAATTCCTCACTTAGGCTGGTAACAATGGAACTCCTATTCCATCTGCAAGCCTACTGTTGCACTACTGAAGATCTACCCCTTTTGGCTTAAGAATTCCTATTATTATGCACATTTTCATTGTCCTTTTCTTGGAGGGCGAAATCGCCTAAAATCGTGACATGAGAATTGGATAAGTTTTCTGCACCACTAGAAGTTTGGAGAACAAGGGTCACATTGACTTGATCAAGAATAGAAACTGTTAGACACGAGATACTAGAAGCGCGTTGTTGATCTGCTAAGTTACCGAACACTTCTCCCTCGTTGACAAGCTGTATATCAAGTTAGATTAGAAAAGCATCTTATGAGCGACTCATCAGAGCGTTTTTCCGAATATGAATGCAATTGATCACGTTTCAATGTTATTGCCGTACTTGGTCAATGCTTAAAATGAGAGTCCACAAACCTCGTGCAGTCGGTTGCGGAACATCTCTGGATCCACTCAAAATGGTAAACAATCGTGAACAGTCCTATAGATCTGAACTGTCCTAAAGAGTGTCTTGATACTAATTGCTAGCCACTTGTCGACTATAGCCTTCTAGGATATCTCCATCATTCTAACGTATTCTTGTAGACCACCCATAGTCAAGCTTGCTCAAAAAGCTCCCTCATTTTCTTGGGGCTGAACGACAAGCAAAATGTCACCTTACTGGAAGGGGCTCATTCGAATTTCCACAAGTAGCGAAAAACACCCAAACGTTGTGATCTCTGGAGAAAGAATTGTGGCTACCAATTACATTATGCGATACTTTTGCTCATGATGCTCAGCAAATTTGACACAGAATTTGTTACAGAGGAGGACATGCAGGCAATACTGAATATACCGTTACTGCCAGACTGTTTTCCTCGAGGATTGAGCCGAATATCAGTAAGAAGTTGCTACTTTTGTACGCGAGGCAAAAAACTAACACAGGGGTTCAAAAGAATTTAACCATGAACTTCTGGGCATACAACGAGTCCAGCATAATGTTGTTGACGAGTTCACAAATTCAGTAACCATTCTGCAGCTAAAAGCTGACACATCAGAGCGCATAACACTGGAGGTACTTTGGACTGCCAGCTGGGATCCACGAACAAGAAAGAAGGAATAGTGTCTAGTCATTCTCTGCAAGGTTTAGCTTCAGGTGATTTGGAAAGGAAGATAGGTCTACGTTTTAGAAGCAGAAGTCCACTTCTTAATTGTTGGACATTTCACTGCGGCAACTAAGATTAAGACACGTAGGAGCACGAGAGACTGTCTTAACTCTCTTGAGCAAAATTTCATGCAAAGATTTGCAAAAAATTGGACAGTTGGACTGTCGTAGAGAAATAGATGATAGAGGATGATAGAGACGTTATATCCACGATCGGTACACGAAAAATCCATTGGCCTACAGCCACATAACTCACCTTTGATTGTTGTACCATGAATTCAGTTTGAGAATTTCCAAGGTAGTACGATACATTGAAACTTATAATAACAAAAACCTCCATGAAGATAATGATATAAAACCATAAGACGTTTCCTGAAATATTGTATCGCTGCGCAATGTTGAAATATACGGCCTGCTACATTTTCAGCTGAAACATAATTTTTAACTTGCTGCTGTTGCCACAGATCCCTTCTCCAGTTTGACAGTCGGATATATGGCGATGAAAGGATTGCAGAGAGCCGCATAGTTGCCAGTAAACAAGGAAGACCTGAGATTTTTTATATTCTGAACTCAGTTATGCTTGGTTGACAAATTACTTGGAGTATGCTTAACTAAGCTTCGAGTTGAATCTAGCCTTGTGCTGGAAAACCCTACAGGCTACAATTGCCAGGCACCTGCTCTTTGTTAGTTTCTAGTGACAAGTAACTTTATATCAACAGTTGCGACTACCAGGCAGAAATTTTAGTATTAGTCTGCACAACCTAAAAAGACTTTCCTCTCATTTTACTTTTGCGCG